CTGCAGCTGTGCTGTACATTAGTTGGTTTGTTTCTTGCAGTGAATTGGTGCTTATACTTGCTATTGCAGTATTTGCATCTTTTAATGCTTGTGCTAGCTGTTTCTTTGAAACAAGCTTCAATGCAGGCAGCCTTATTCTGTTGTTTTTGTGCTGTTCTAGATGCTCAGTTATTCTTTGTTTCAATTCTTTTATTTCTTTAGTTAGAAGGTTTTGTTCTTCCTGAGGAATAGGTGCCTGGTTTCCAAATGAGAACAGTTGTATATCTCTACTGGATTCTTTCACTGCCAACTCCCCCTGGTTTGCCTCTACATTCTGAATTACTTCTGTAAGGCTTTGATTTCTTTGCCCTGGGTAAACCTTTGCAGTTCGTCCAATTCTGTTTCTGTAATACTTTATTTCGTGTTATAAATCGGCGTTGATCTGCTAGTCTCTGTTCTGTTATTTCTGATTCTGGATGTTGTTCTTTCCAGAACTGGTGCATTCGTTTTAGATATCCTCTTCTTGTTGGACTTGATCTGTAGTAACAGATCATTGGACTTGATCTGTAGTAACAGATCATTATTTCTTTGTTTTCCATCACTGTGTATCTGCGACGGGTAAACACCTTTTCTTCCAGTAGTTCTGCAGCTGCTGGCCCTGGTTGCTCAGCCAACAGTCCTGAGTCCTGTAACCCATTTTTCACCAGATATCCAGGAACTCCAATATCTAGCGCGGACCTTGTTAACCCGGGCGACATCCGAGCCGGTATGGCATTCTGAAATTTACGTCTCACCATATTTTTTATGGGAGAGACACTCTTTGTCTGACTCCTCTGATGAGACCTGTCCAGTATGGTTGAACCTCTGGCATAGCTCTCATCTTCCTCAGAGTACACAAGCCCCACAACCACGTCAAGGTAGTGCCTCACTGGGGGATTATTATTATTATTATTATTATTATTATTATTTCCTTTAGCCCACAGGTGCAAATGCTAGCCCCCAAATCTTTGGGCGCAGGCAAGCTCCATCGGCTTTCAAAAGCTGTCCTTTTGGCAGCAAGGGGATTGCTCAATAAACGACGGAGGAGTAAATCCCCTGAGCTAAATTTAATTTTAACTGCTGAAAAGAAACCAGAGCAAATGGCTTCACTCTTTGACCTCACAAGCTGCTCTTCAGAGTAAGGTTCACGGCCCCTGCGGTGCCCTTGACGGAAGAAAAAGTCGTGCTCCTCTCTGTTCAGCCAGGAGCAACAAAGATAATTAGGGGACCGGAGGTTCAAACATACATAGAACGGTTGCAGGAATTGGGTAGGTCTAATTTAAGGAAAAGAAGGTTTGGGGTGACCTGATAGCTGTGTTCCAATATTTGAGGGGCTACCACAAAGAAGAGGGGGGTCCACCTATTCTCCAAGGCAGGATGAGAAACAATGGATGGAAACTCATCAGAACCAGAAGAATAGAATAGAATAGAATAGAATAGAATAGAATAGAATAGAATAGAATAGAATAGAATAGAAGTTGGAAGGGACCTTGTAGGTCATCTAGTCCAACCCCCCCCCGCCCAAGCAGAAGACCCTACCCCATTTCTGACAGATGGCAGTCCAGTCTATTCTTGAAAGCTTCGGTGATGAAGCTCCCACAACATCTGAAGGCAAACTGTTCCATCGGTTGGTTGTTCTCACTGTCAGGAAATTTCTCCTTATTTCTGGGTTGAATCTCTCCTTGATCAGTTTCCATCCGCTATTCCTGGTCCGGCTTTCAGGTGCTTTGGAGAATAGGTTGACCCCTATTGACCCCTCAAATATTGGAAGACCGCTATCGTGTCTGCCCTGGTCCTTCTCTTCACTAGACTAGCCGTGCCCAGTTCTTGCAACCGTTCTTCGTATGTTTTAGCAACCGTTCTTCGCATATTTTAGCCTCCCGTCCCCTGATCATCTTGGTTGCTCTTCTCTGCACTTTTTCTAGAGCAGGGGTGGCGAAGTTGTGGCACGTGTGCCAGAGGCGGCACTCAGAGCCCTCTCTGTGGGCACACGTGCTGCCGCTGCCAGCAGCTTGTGCAGGTCTGCCTGCCAATCTGGGTGGCGTCCTGCCGCCGCCACCCAGATTGGCAGCCCCACCCAGCACAAAGGAGGCAAAGTGGCCAGCTAGCAAGCTCGAGTAGAGGTGGTAGACCACGCCCACATCCAGCAAGCCAAAAGCCACCCCGAGCAAGGAAAGCCGGATCCCCATCAGCGCCATGGTCCCCCACTCCCAGCTAGGATTGCGTGCCTCCCCCCATCTATGCTGGGCCTCCTGCCCACCGCCCCACCCGCCAGAGACCCCTGGATCTCCCCCAACCCTGCTCGACCCCCACAGGCATCCCCCCCCCATGAGCAACATCGAGGTGGCCATGCCCATCCCAGCCACGCCCACCCAGTCTGCCGTGACAATCGGAGCCATGCCCACCCAGTGGACCATGCCCCCATGCCCCCCCCTGTGGGCACCACAATGCTGATGCAGCCCTGGCACTTTGTGATAAATAAGTGGGTTTTGGGTTGTGGTTTGGGCACTCGGTCTCTAAAAGGTTCGCCGTCACTGTGCTAGAGTCTCAACATCTTTTTTTATAGTGTGGAGACCAAAACCGGTTGCGGTATTCTAGGTGTGGCCTTACCAAGGCTTTATAGAGCGGTGATCTTGATTGAATCCCTCTGTCATTGCAACTTAGGACTGCATTGGCTAAGGAGGAATTTCCTGACAGTGAGAACAATGAATCGGTGGAACAAGTTGCCTCCAGAAGCTGTGAAGGCTCCAACACGGGAGGTTTTGAGGAAGAGGTGGGGCAGCCAGTTGTCTGAAATGGTCTAGGGCAGTGGTTCTCAACCTTTTTAATGCCGCGACCCCCCAACCGGTCGTAAGTCGAGGACTACTCAACCGGTCGTAAGTCGAGGACTACTCAACCGGTCGTAAGCCGAGGACTACTCAACTGGTGCAGCACTGTTTGCAGAATGGGACTTTTGGCGGGCTCAGCAGGGCAGAGACAGCCTGGACAATTCCTATTGGCTTTTGAAAGCCAATCGAATTAGACTCTATTCAAGAGAGTCTATTCTACTGGCTTTCAAAAGCCAATAGAACAGTAGTTCTCAACCTGTGGGTCGGGACCCCATTTGGGGTCGAACGACCATTTCATGGGGGTCGCCAAACAAGGCTGTCCGCCATTTTTTTCCCCTTTTCTTTGGCCACGCCCCTGGCACCCGGTGATGTATAAGTGGTTGGGGGTCACCACAACATGGGGAACTGTATTATGGGGTCACGGCATTAGAAAGGTTGAGAACCACTGCAATAGAATAAAAGGGAGTAGCACAGCTAAGGAAAAGGGGAGAAAAAATGGCGGACTGCGTTGTTTGGCAACCCCCGTGAAATGGTCGTTCGACCCCAAATGGGGTCCCGACCCACAGGTTGAGAACCACTGGTATAGGGTTTCCTGCCAGAGCCGAGGGCTGGACTAGAAGACCTCCAAGGTCCCTTCCAACTCTGTGATTCGGAAATCCAAGCGGTCGTGTTGTTTGAGCTTGACACTTTCCAAGGTGGAGCCCCTGTCGGATCGAACCATCCCCGAATCGGGGAGTAATCAAAGAAAGGAGCAAAGATGCCTTATCACGGATGGCTGACTCATAAGCCAACCAGGAGAATGGGATCACGATAAGGGGGGAAATAAATATAAATAACCTTCATATTGTCAAGAGGCAAGATAACTACGGTCCTATCCTGGCTAGCTCCCCCCCCCAAAAAAATGCAGGAAAAGTGCAAAACGGGGTAAGATGCAACTCTGGGAAGCTCCGGTTGTGAACAGGAGTCAAATCTGGGCAAAGGTGGCATCTTAACCACTTTCAGGATTCGACGTCTCAACTAAGGGAGTTGTTGGCGGAGAATGAGAAGGAAGGTCAGGGCGAGATAAGAGCAGAGAAACAGATAAGATACACCGAGCAGCAATCTGCCCTTCGCCCGGCCTGAACTGAGCTCTGGCAGAGCTTGAGATTCTTACCCAAAACGCCTCCCCAGCAAAGGACGGGTCCGGCCTCCACGCTTGGGAAGCTCAAAAACCTTCTCAAGAAGGTCTCCCCCCCCTTGGTGGGAATGCACGCGAGCTCGTGATTTTTGGAATAAGATTAAAGTATGGTTGGAAGAAATATTACAGCAAGTGGTAGAACCAAAAGCAGAACTCTTTCTATTAGGTTTAACGACGCAAAAGCGCGACAAAGGCGTACTTTATTTAATGCTACACAATTTTAACGGCTTCCAGACTGGTTTTTTGCTCAGAATTGGAGGAATAAGGGGACCCCAACGGAAGAAGAGATCCTGTATAAAATTTTATCATGTGCTGAGATGGACAGGCTTACAATGATTATGAAAGACAAGACAGAACACGAATACTTCGAAATCTGGGGCAAATTTTACCGTTGGTATGAATCAAGGAGAACTGCTTGGACTTCAAGTTAATGGTAGAATATATATATATATATATATATATATATATATATATATATATATATATATATATATATATATATATATATATCACTTGCTCCTCGAAGCACGAAGCTGAAAGCACCAGCCTGAAGATGACGAATGGGACTTCGTCGAAACGTTGCCAAGACACTTCCAATTTTACATGGGAGAAAACCCGAACAACCAAAGACCTACATACAAACACCCGCGAAAACCTCAGAAAACACACATATATAACTGTACATATAATTGTATCGTATAAAAGATAAGGCTTATATAGAGGTTAAGAACGATGTGTTAAGCTTTTGTACCAGGATAGGAACTGATAGGAAAACTCATTCTGGAATGTCATGTTTGTCCACTGTTGTTTTAATTGTATTATGAATAAAAATATTAAAAAAGAAAAGAAGAAGGTCTCCCCCCCTCCCAGATCAGGGCCGGAGAAGTCCGAAGGATCCTTAGAGGAGAGAGCGCCACGTCCTGGCCGTTGACCTCAACCGACCCTCCTCACCCACGCCCTTCCCCGACGGTACTCACAGATGCAGACGGCAGCCAGGAGACGGCCGGCCAGGTAGGGCGCCTCGCAGGATGGGAAAAAAGGTTGGACCAAGTAGTTGGCGAAAGTGATGGCGATGATGGCCTGGCTGGTGGGCTCTATGATGAGCAGAGAGGTCCACAGGCGGATGAACGCCAGCAGATGCCCGAAGGCTTCCAAGATATAGGCGTAGCTGGCCCCCGATTTTTTGATGGTGGTGCCCAGCTCGGCGTAGCAGAGGGCCCCGAAGACGGAGAAAAGGCCCCCCACGGCCCAGATGACGAGGGACAGTCCGTAGGACGCGCTGTAGGCCAGGACCCCCTTGGGCGAGACGAAGATGCCCGAGCCGATCATGTTGCCCACAATCAAGCAGACGCCATTGAGCAGCGAGATTTCCTTCTTCAGCTGCATCGTCTCCTCGGAGGATGAGCTGGACTCCAGCAACTTCCCATTAGCCGCGGTCTTAGCCGGGGTTTCATCCTGAGTGGCCGCCACCACATACTGGCCGGACCTGGTCATGGCTGGACAAAGGAGAAAATAACTCAGTTAGCGCCACGGTTGGAAGGGACACCACCACCATCATCACCACCACCCTACATCCCAAAAAGTGGGTTTCTTTCCTCTCCTTGGGGAATGAGTCAGACAATGTCTAGCTTCCCCCAACCTGGAGCCCTTCAGAATCAGAATAGAACCAGAAGGTCATATAGTCCAGCCCCCTGCTCAAGCCGGAGAGGCTATACCATTTCAGACAAGTGACTGTCCAGTCTCTTCTTAAAAACCTCCAATGATGGAGCGCCCACAATGTCAAATGTGCTCCTGTTAGCCCCGACTTAATAAGGCAAGAATCCATCCCGGACCAGTTTGAGGAACGTGGCATCAAAACAAGCTTTGCAGATCTAAACTCAGCTTGGCTTGCCTCTACGGAAGTAAAGCGCACCAAGACTGGATGCAGAGTTGGTTTGGTCCACTGCCGTGTGCCTCAAGGGGGTTTTACTAACTAAATCACAACTGGCCGATTCACACAAGCAGCGAACGCCCAGATCCAAATCAACCAGAATCTGATCTAGTACAGTGAAAAGCTAGGTCTCTTGTCTACCAGGAGAGTGAAAACTGGGAAGGCTGAAAGAGGTGTTCCTTGCTTCCCGCGGACCTGACTTTTTTTTTCTTTTTTGCTAGATCCAGGGGAAGAAAGCTCTAAATTCAATTGATTTATTTAAAAAAAATCAAATCTGGAAGAATAATCAAATGGGCAGGCGCAGACAGGTCCAGCATTCAGATGGCCGGCGGATTCCCTATAACAGTGGTGGCGAACCTATGGCACGCGTGCCAGAGGTGGCACTCGGAGCCCTCTCTGTGGGCACGCATGCCGCCGCTGCCAGCAGCTTGCACAGGTCCATTAGGCTGCTTCTGCCACCTGGGGCGGCAGCCACACCCAGCACAAAGGAGGCGAAGCGGCCAGCTTGCGAGCTTGAGTAGAGGTGGTAGAACATGCCCACAGCCAGCAAGCCAAAGGCCACCCTGAGCAGGGAAAGCTGGATCCCCATCGGCGCCATGGCCTCCCAGTCCCAGCTAGGATTGCATGCCTCCCCCATCTATGCTGGGCCACCTCCCCACCGCCCCACCCGCCAGAGACCCCCTGGATCTCCCCCATCCCTGCCCGGCCCCCACAGGCGTCCCCCCCCCATGAGCAGCATCAAGGTGGCCACGCCCACCCAATGGGCCACACCCCCATGCCCCCCCTGGCACTTTGCGATAAATAAGTGGGTTTGGGGTTGTGGTTTGGGCACTCGGCCTCTAAAAAGTTTGCCATCACTGCCCTGTAAGGTCAGAAATGCTACAGAAAGTCACATTTGGACAGGACTCTTTGTGAATGGGATCCAAGCAGGCTGCATTAACAGAGGGATAGAATCAAGATCACCTGAAGTATTAATATCACTTTACAAGGCCTTGGTAAGGCCACACTTGGAATACTGCATCCAGTTTTGGTCACCACGATGTAAAAAGGATGTTGAGACTCTAGAAAGAGTACAGAGAAGAGCAACAAAGAGGATTAGGGGACTGGAGGCTAAAACATATCAGGAATGGTTGTTGGAGTTGGGTATGTCTAGTTTAATGAAGAGAAGGACGAGAGGGTGACATGACAGCAGTATTCCAATATCTCAGGGGCTGCCATAAAGAAGAGGGAGTCCAGCTATTCTCCAAAGCACCTGAAGGCAGGACAAGAAGCAACGGGTGGAAACTAATCAAGGAGAGAAGCAACCAAGAACTAAGGAGAAACTTCCTGACAGTGAGAACAATTAATCAGTGGAACAGCCTGCCTCCAGAAGCAGTAAATGCTCCAACGCTGGAAGTTTTTAAGAAGAGACTGGACAGCCATTTGTCCGAAATGGTGTAGGGTTTCCTGGCTGAGCAGGGGGTTGGACTAGATGACCTCCAAGGTCCCTTCCAACTTTACGACTATTATTATAAAACGTGGGTTTCTGCTTTAATCGGTGGGGGGGGGGGGCAGATGTCCCGCCGATGGCTGGAAAGCAGGGGATCTAGAAAAAAAGGGGACAAGGATGAAGAAGGAGCTTGCCTGGAGAGATGGATTGAGTAGGACTCACCAGTTCTGGGCTTAGCTTGCTTTCCTCCCGTTGAACTGCCTGCCTGCCCTCGGACCAGCTTAAGACTAAAGAATGGAAAGCTGTCAGGACAGCACTTTTAACTTGAGGAACTAAGCAGGGTGGCTGGGGGAGGAGTGAGGGGGGGGTGAGGCATCGAGTCCAAGGTCCGCCTGGTGCCAGGTGGGGGCAGGGGCAGCCTACCTCATCCTTTGGAAGATAAAAGACTGCCAGTTCCTGCACATATTTAAGGAGAGCTCGGGGCAGGTCCCTTAAGCCAGCTGTGATTTCCTGCCTCTGCTTTCTGCATCCACTCTTCCACAAAGCCTCCGGGTTGCGCCCGGCTCTAGAGGAAAAGGGGGCTTCTGCAAATCCTAGAGTAGGGCGACCTCTCGGCTTAAACTTAAGAGGGTCCAGCTCATTCTCCAAAGCGCCCGAAGGCAGGACAAGAAGCAACGGATGGAAACTCATCACGGAGGGAAGCAACCTTAGAACTAAGGAGGAATTAGCCTGGCAGTGAGGATAATTAATCAGCGGAACAGCCTGCCTCCAGAAGCGGTGAATGCCCCAACACTGGAGGTTTTTAAGAAGAGACTGGACAGCCGTTGGTCTGAAATTGTAGAGGGTTGAAATAATAGAAAAAAAATCTTGTAGTTCTGGTTTTAGATGCTGGTGCTGGTTTGCTCTCCAAGCTTGTTTCAGTTCAGTTTTTGAATGTTTCATTACCAGACAAAAGTCTCTGTGACTCGTGTGGAGATATATACAAAGTATATACCTCATATGTACCCAAGACATACATACAGAGTCTCTGTGTCTCATGTGGAGAATGTACAATGTATATATATATGTACACAAGACATACATACAGAGTCTCTGTGTCTCGTGTGGAGAATGTACAATGTATATATATATGTACCCAAGACATACATACAGAGTCTCTGTGTCTCGTGTGGAGATACATACAATGTATATACCTCATATGTACACAAGACATACAGAGTCTCTGTGTCTCATGTGGAGATGTACAATGTATATATCTCATATGTACCCAAGACATGCAGTCTCTGTGTCTCGTGTGGAGATACATACAATGTATATATCTCATATGTACACAAGACATACAGAGTCTCTGTGTCTCGTGTGGAGATACATACAATGTATATATCTCATATGTACACAAGACATACAGTCTCTGTGTCTCGTGTGGAGATACATACAATGTATATATCTCATATGTACACAAGACATACACTCTGTGTCTCGTGTGGAGATACATACAATGTATATACCTTAGATTATATATCTCCACACAAAATATATATAAGCTAAAAGGGAATAGCTTGGAGAGCAAACCAATGCCAAAATGGTACACAAGACATACATACAGAGTCTCTGTGTCTCATGTGGAGATATGTACAATGTATATACTTCATATGTACACAAGACATACATACAGTCTCTGTGTCTCGTGTGGAGATATGTACAATGTATATACTTCATATGTACACAAGACATACATAGAGTCTTTGTGTTGTGTGGAGATATGTACAATGTATATACCTCATATGTACATAAGACATACAGAGTCTCCGTGTCTCATGTGAAGATATGTACAATGTATATATCTCATATGTATACAAGACATACATAAAGAGTCACCGTCTCATGTGGAGATACGTACAATGTATATATCTCATATGTACACAAGACAAACATACATAGAGTCTCTGTGTCTCATGTGGAGAGATGTACAATGTATATATATGTACACAAGACATACATACAGAGTCTCTGTGTCTCATGTGGAGATACATACAATGTATATACCACATATGTACACAAGACATACATACAGAGTCTCTGTGTCTCATGTGGAGATACATACAATGTATATACCTCATATGTACACAAGACATACATACAGAGTTTCTGTGTCTCGTGTGGAGATACATACAATGTATATACCTCATATGTACACAAGACATACATACAGAGTCTTTGTGTTGTGTGGAGATATGTACAGTGTATATACCTTATATTATGTATCTCCACAGAAAATATATATAAGCTAAAAGGGATTAGCTTGGAAAGCAAACCAATGCCAAAACGGTATCATAGGGTTTCCTGCCTCAGCAGGGGGTTGGACTAGAAGACCTCCAAGGTCCCTTCCAACTCGGTTATCCTGTTAATAACTTCCCAGTCCAAAGGCTGAGTCCCAGAGATAGCCCAGACTGTTTTGATACCAATAGAAGAGAATCTCCGTAGCTGAAGGTTGAACCGTGGGGTCCTCGGCGCGCGCTGAGCGCGACGATTCCTTTGTAGGTGCTTCATGACCCGACTAGGTGACAGGTTCACCCACTAGATTAGCAACACCAGCGTGTGCTACGATTAAGTAAACACGTTTTGAGCAGAAAATGCTTCTCATTTCCTCTTTGTGGCAACGGAGGGTTCTCGGCCCGGGTCAACCTTAAAAGAAGAAGAGGGGGGTGGGGAAAAGATAAATATAAGACAAGTATGAATCGAAAGTAGCTCTGGTACTTTTATTTTAGCCAGCTGGACACAAATCCATCTGTTGCACAGAATGCTGCTCAGTCATAACGAGCCCTTTGTTTTTGTGATTTTCATTTTCATTTTTTTAATCTGTGACTATTTTTGTCCGACAAAAGAATTCTGGAAAACTCGGCAGCTTACGTTCCTCTTTTCATATACACTTTCCACGTTTAAATTTATTATTTATTAATCAAATTTACATATCCCCCATCTCATTGTTTAAGTGACTCTGGACGGTTTCAAAGTAAAACAAGGATAGAATCCATATTAAAAAAAAAAACCTGTACAAAACTACACAGATAGCAAAAGCACCTCAAGTCATTCCCAGGGCTTAATTCCATATGTTAATTGACTGAGCCAGGTCTTAATGCTCTTCCAGAAATTGGGGGCCAAGATATGCCATACTGAGAGAGAGAGAGAAAGGTGAAAGTGACTGGTTGAAAGAGAAGTGCAGTCAGTCGCTTACTCTCCGCTCTAGGAAAGAGGCTTTACTTCGGAAAAATCTTGCCAATAAAATTGTAGGGACTTGTCCAGGCAGTCTCTGACAATCGGACATAACTGAATGGGAAAAAAATATATCATACATATTTATATATATGCCACCTATATGTCTGTCTGTCTATCTATATGCCACCTATAGTTGTACAGTATATATGCCATAAACGTATATGTATGTTACATGTAGTTATGTATATGCCACACATATTATAATTATATATATGCCACAAGGTTTATATATACACCACATATATTTATATATATGCCATGAAGTTTTATATTATATATATATATATATATTATATATATTATATATAAATATATATATATATATATATATATATATATATAGGTCTTTGGTTGTTCGGGTTTTCTCCCGCGTAAAATTGGAAGTGTCTTGGCGATGTTTCGACGAAGTCCCATTCGTCATCTTCAGGCTGATGTTTTCAGCTTCGTGCTTGCTGCTCGAAGCACGAAGCTGAAAACACCAGCCTGAAGATGACGAATGGGACTTTGTCGAAACATCGCCAAGACTCTTCCAATTTTACGCGAGAGAAAACCTGAATAACCAAAGACCTACATACAAACACCCGTGAAAACCTCAGAAAACATATATATATATATATGTTTGTGTGTGTGTGTGTGTGTGTGTGTGTGTGTACGTTATATGTGCCATCTTATATACATGCCACATATAGGTTATATGCCACAGTTGTTTATGCATACACACACACATGCACACATATATACAATGTGTATATATACACACATACTATTATATACTATACTATATATGCTATATATATTGTACGAAATAGAAAAGCACAATATAATACACACACACATAGCACATATAGTATATATATACTATATATGCTATGTGTGTGTGTATTATATTATATTATGCTTTTCTATTTCGTAAGCCTCCTAGAGCCCAGAGTTGCTTGATAGTGAAATGAACACTATATGAATTTAATAAAAATCAAATATAGTACACACACACACACAGAGAGAGAGAGAGAGAGAGAGAGAGAGAGAGAGAGCGAGAGCGAGAGCGAGACCCTTTTTCTTGAAAAAAAGAAGTGAAGCAAGTGAGGCCTCTGACGCTCTGGGGCTGGGCAAAGGGTCCACCTCGCATCCCATCATTCCCAGCTGGCTCTGCCAAGACCCGATGGGGGAGGACTGGAGAGCGCCAGGCTGCTTAAGAGAAAGGCGCTAATTTATTCCTCGGTCACTTGCATCAATCTGGGCCTCCCTCGGCCATCCGAACAGGCGGAACCCCAGATGACTGTTTACATAGTCGCCAAGGGCAACGGCTTCCTTAGCAACCAGCATCCAAGATGGCGCCAGGGACTCTAGGGACCGTTTGGAAAATGGCCGAGACGCCCTTTCCGCCCCTAAGAAACATGGCCGCCAGAATGCTCTGAAACGTCACGAATACTGCATTGGAACCTAGGCGAAGCCTTTCTTAGAAGTGTGATGTTTTCCTTAAAGTAACGAATAGATGGCAATTTGGTGATTATTATTGTTTATGCGAGCAGGGTAGGCCAGGGATAGGCAGCCTTGGCTCTTTTATGACTCGTGGACTTTAACTCCCAGAATTCCTGAGCCAGCCATGCTGGTTCAGGAATCCTGGGAGTTGAAGTCCACGAGTCATAAAAGAGTCAAGGTTGCCTATCCCTGGGCGAATAAGGACGCCCCATCCAAGATGGAAGCGGATCTCCGTTTCCGTTTGCAAAATGGAGTCTGATTTAGCTTCCGGGTCATGCACACCCAAATCCTCTAACGCCTGGGCCGAAAATGGCGGCTCTCACAGACGAATGGACACTGTCAATAGCCGGACAATACAATCCGCGTTGTTTTCCAAATGCCGCCCAGCGGTGGTCTCCGGAGAGTAGCTCCAGCCGATGCCTCGACGCTTCGCCCCTATCCAACGTTTTGCCCTTTGCCTACGAGACGTTCTACATCCGTACAAAATGGCGCCTCCCAGTCCACCGGTGACCGGATGAGGCGGAACTTCCGTTTGGACGACCCAAAAATGGCGCCTCCAGGGCCGGTTTGAACCGTGCGCCGTCGGTGAACGAGCAGCGCGCAACTCGGGTCTTCCGAATGGCGCTTCCCGTGACCCCGAGGCTGGGTATGGACCTCTTGAAGGCGAGAACGAGCGTGTCTGCGCGCGTGCACGGGCAGAAACGCGTGCCGAGAGAACGAATGGCTTATTATTCTGCTTTTCCTGGGATCGATTGCGTTGGTTTCAATGGGGCTGCCTTGGGAGGGCATGTGCGGAGACCCAGGTTGCAAAGGGAGAACCCTTCCCAATTAAGTATCCACTCCCAATATTCCCAGACATTGGAAGGACAACCTGCCCGGATGACCTCAAATTCCTAATTCAAATTCCTAATTCAGAAAGGTCCAAACTGCTCTATAAGCCCCGCGATGGCCCTATTGAGCAGTAAATGGGGTGGGGGGCTTGGCTAATGAAGAAATTGATATCCAGCCCGTTTTGTGAATGGTCGGAGCTGCATTTTTCCAACCCTAGCAACTAAGACGGGTGGACTTCAACTCCCAGGATTCCCCAGGCCTGCACAGCTAGCTGGGGAATTCTGGGAGTTGAAGTCCATCCATCTTAAAAGTTGGCAAAGTTGAGAAACATAGGGGTGAAGGGTCAAAATATGCCCCCTTAACACTGGACTGCAAGGCGTTCAAACCGGTCAGTCCTAGAAGAGATCAACCCCGACTGCTCTTTAGAAGGCCAGATCCTGAAGTTGAAACTCAAGTACTTTGGCCACCTAATGAGAAGGAAGGATTCACTGGAGAAGGGCCTAATGCTGGGAAAGATTGAGGGCAATAGAAGAAGGGGACGACAGAGAATGAGATAGCTGGAGTCACTGAAGCAGTAGATGTGAATTTAAATGGACTCCAGAAGATGGTAGAGGACAGGAAGACCTGGAGGAACATTGTCCATGGCGTCGCGACGGGTCGGACACGACTTCGCAATTAACAACAACAACACTGACAAATCTATTGCAACAGTACAGGCAGTCCTTGACTTTCAACAGAGGATGGGATGGGATGGGATAGGGCAGGGCTGGAAAGGACCTTGGAGGTCTTCTAGTCCAGCCCCCTACTCAAGTAGGAGAACTTACACCATCTCAGACAGGTGATTGTCTAGCCTCTTCTTAAAAATTTCCAGTGATGGAGCGCCCACGATTTCTGGTGGCAAGCTGTTCCACTGGTTGATTGTCCTCACTGTCAGGAAGTTTCTCCTTAGTTCCAGGTTGCTTCTCTCCTTGACCAGTTTCCAACCATTGTTTCTTGTCCTGCCCTCTGGTGCTTTGATGAACAGCCTGACCCCCTCTGCCTTGCGGCAGTCCCTCAGATACTGGAACCCATTTGAAGTTACCATGGCACCGAAAAAAATGACATGACCATTTTTCACACTACCGACTGTTGCAGCATCTCCATGGTCAAGTGTTCAAAATTCGAAGGCTTGGCAACTGTCTCATATTTATGACGGTTGCAGTGATCCCCTTTTTGTGACTTCTGACAAAGTCAATGGGGAAGTCAGATTCACTTAACTGTGTTACTAACTTAAGAGCTGCAGTGACTCTAGCAAGAAAGGTCGTTAAATGGGGCAAAACCCAGTTAACAAATGTCTCACTTAGCAACAGAAAATTTGGGCTCCATTGTGGTCACAAGTCAAGGACTATCTGTAATAGGTTCCCCCCCCCTCCTTGCGAAGCACATCCAGAATTTATAAGGTTGTACATCTATACACAACCCAATTGACCCCGGTGGTGTGTGTGGGGGGGAATAATATATCTTTTTGTCCTTTTTTTTTAATTCACATTTTCTTCAATATTTTTGTTTTGTTTCGTCCCTGTTTAATTTTTTTCTTTGGGATTTTGGATTTTAATTTTTTGGAATGCAATAAAATTTCAGGATCCAAACTGGGTGGTATATACAGGTCAGTTGCCAAGCATCTGAATTTTTGATCACGTGACCACAAAGGTTGTAAGTCACATTTTTCAGTGTCGTAACTTTGAATGATCACTAAATGAACTGTTGTAAGTCGAGTACTACCCATATTTTATGGATTGCAAGGATTAATAAAATTGGTTTTTTTAAAAAAAGAAAAAAATACATGAAACAGAAGGCTTCTGGGAAGCAAACCCTAGACTAATTCTAGTAATTTTCCTTCCACTGTTGCCGTGCTCATTGTTACATTTTAGCTCCTGTTTTTTCCTCTGATTCTTTCTTTACTCACTCAGCCTGGAGAGCACCTCAGTTAATACTTTCTTAACCACCTGGAGGCAGTGCAGGACTACTTTCATTCTGTATGAAACTTATCAAATATATGTAGCCATGATATTGTAGCTACATACACTTGATGAAGTTCAAAGGGAA